TGAATAAGCACGAAGATACATATAGTGGTGCATAGCAATGATGCAGTAATGTTGGCGAGATAAGAAAAAGAAAGAAAGTGATGTTAGATCGAGTTTAAATGAAATTATGAGGACACTGATATCAGTAGAAGCTGAGCCCGTATATATACGGGCCCCGTAACGAAAGGGTTAATCACCTCGAAAGGTTCCCTCGTTAGACGGCGATGTTTTTTTATGAAAAATTTTATCGTATGAATATTTTTAATTATCAAGATTATTTTTTAGATTTATAGATGTCTTCATCGAAAAGATTCGACTGTGAAATATGTGAAAAACAATTGAGTGAAAATGATGATACACTGACTACTGACTGTCGTCATATATATCATCGTCATTGTGCTCAGAAACGGCTTGATGAGATGCAGCGAAGCGATTGTCGTAAATGCGGCAAAGAATCTGCTGTAGGTGACGCACTTGCACGAGCCAATAAAGAGTGCAACATATGCGAGAAAATTATGAACGATGATGATGCTTTGGTGACTACTGATTGTCAGCATACATTTCATATTCACTGTGCCCAAAAGCGATTAGATGAGCTACGGCGAAGTGAGTGTCGTAAATGCGGTAAAAAATCGGCTTTGGGAGATGCACTCGAACAACTTAATGCAATATTAGAAGGTGAATGTAAAATTTGTGAAAAACAATTAGGCAGAAAAGATGACACGCTGACTACTGATTGTCAACATATATTTCATATGAATTGTGCCCAAAACCGACTAGATGACGTCAAGAAAAGTGATTGTCGTGAATGCGGTAAAGAATCAGCTATTAGTAATGCACTTAAACGATACCAAGTAACGTCAAGAAAATTCGTAGAACGAGTTTCTAATCCAACTGAAACAAAAGAAAATGTAAGTTACTTTTCTGAAATGATAATAAACAAGAAAACTAACAGTTGATATTTGATAAAGAAAAACAAACTAGTTAAATTTCATATCGGTAATAATAGAGGAGTAGTATTTAAAATGATTCTTTCATTCTAATTTTAACTCTCAACAGAATATGTTTGTCTGACCTTTTTTCCTAGGTGAAACCGGCTGAACATGAAATTTCGCGGCTCAAAACAAGAACAACAAGTTCAATGAGTATCGATGAAAACACGTGGGAATGCCAGCAATGCTGGTACGAAGAAAATATACAATCAGCACAGCGTTGCCAATCATGTGGAAGACCACGATGTAGTCCTCTCACAAAGTCAGCAATGGTAGCACAGGAACCTGATACAGATCAAACATCTAGCAATAATTGTTATAAATCGAGACCATTAGGTAATAGTTTAAAAATGTCATTTCGCTCATTGAATAGTTCTGTTCTGAGAAAAGACTTTTCATACAAATGTATAGTTAGAAGATAATGCAATTTCAATGATCAATTAAAAATCGTTTCAGCATAATTTTTTCAAAACAGATCTAAAGAAAACCGTTAATAACTAATTTTTCGTCTGGTAATATGTATGTTCTCAAGATGAATACAGATAATTCCCAATTATTAGTATTAAACTCCAATGACATACGAAACTGATGTGAAGATTTATTTCAATTTTATCTAACTAAGAACTCATAAGAGACGACACAGTAATCATTAGTTTGCAGATTATATGCGTTTTTAAATAAAATTATTGCAACATTTTTATGTATCTTGATGGATCCAACTTCGATATTTCGTTTTGCTTATGACAATTAAAATTCTTTCTTCAAAACTCTTTTTTAAAAAGTAACTTATTATCATTTGAATTTTTTCAGAATACACCGGTGGTCCTCCGACAACTTCTACGTTTGTTTCATCCTCCTCGTTCAACAGCGATAATTATTCAACTAGATCGAGACAACGAGAAAGGACATCTTCTCGATCTCGATCACCTACAAAACCGCCGGTCACTGTCTACATTAAAGAGTTGCCATTAATCGATCAAGATGACTTTGGTTTGGCAAATAAAATTCGTCATCGTATAGAAACGATTCACAAAATAAAAATACTTGATATTCGATGCTATTCCAGTTTAGGTATCGGTTTTATTCGTGTCTCGGATGATCAAACAAAGAACCATTTAGTTGATACTGTTGGAAATATGTCGTTAGATTCACAAGTTGGTTCGTCTTCGATTTCATTTACGAATACACTTGAAATAGTGTCGTGCATAGTACTTGATATGAAAAACGACAAAGACTTGAAAAGTTTACCAAAATCTGATGAAGTTATGTCCAGATGGAAAGATATATTTATAAATGAAAAACCTCTTTTGTGTGATGGAGTTTCGATTCAATTTCCAAACATTTATCGTATTATTACATCATTCGATGAATCATTCGTTAAAATTGCTCATTCAAATTTTGCAATTAATGGTCGATTTGCCCAAATTTATTTTGGTGCTGATTATAGTTATTTAGAAGATCTTCCAACTTTGATAAATGAAAAACAATTAAGAGAAGCTATCGGCAGAATGATTGGCCTTGAAAATATTTCACAATCAATTCTACATATTGAATTTAATAAACAAGCAAAAAATGCATGTATTATTGCTTGTGATATTGCGCGAAAATGGTCGACAAAAAGTTTTCTTTATCTTGATAATAAACCAATATCAAAGAAGGAAAATTTAACTTATCGTTTACTTGTTACTCCTGTTACTGAAACATATAAAATTGATAGTATTATTAATCATGAAATGTTTGTTCACAAAGCAACAATAGACAAACATCGTGGCACAAAACTAATTCTCGAAATATCCGATAAAATTGTTTTTGACAATTGTATAAAAATTGGAGCACTTCGTTTAAATGATGAAACATCTTTGATTATGAAAAATTATATTGCTGGCAGTGATCCTGAAGAATGTGAAATTGATGCTGATACTTGGTATGAAAGTGAAATGCTTCGATACAAGCCCGATATCATGCAATTTATTCGAAATCCTGAACATGAAATATTTCGCTTTAAATGGAATTCACAATTATGGCTTCAACAATTTAAAAGACTTATAACACAAGATCAAAATGTCAGTAAAAATATTAATTTACGTAATTTTAATGGAACATCGTTTGATATTATACGCCATCACCTTCGAGTTACTGTTATGCTTAATACAATAGCGGCAATACAAAAAAATAAATATATAATCGATAATGATGAAATTAAATTAAACTTAGAAAAAAATTTACAAACAATCATTTACAATCATCAATCGAAATTAAAATCTGATGTCAAATTACCTTCGAGTGACTCACTCTGGAAAAAGACAGAAGTCAAAGTTTTTAATGAAGATTGTCTTGCTGTTTATGAACAATTGGTAGCTGAAGGAAAAAAGCCACTTTTGTTAAATATGGCCAGTAGTACGAGTCCCGGTGGTGGTTATCGTAAAGGTGATGGAGCACAAGAAGAAAATATCTTTCGACGATCAGATTATTGTCGAAGTCTTGATGTTGGTCTCGATGAAATTCTAGAAGAACCTTGTGAAAGATCGCTTTGCACATCACAATGTAAACTCGATCCATCATTCGATTCACAGAAAATGTATCCGATTCATGAATACGGAGCTATTTATACATCGGGTTTAACTGTATTTCGTCAGGCTGAAAATACTGGTTATAATTATATGAAAAAACCATTACATAATGTTTGTTCATTGGCAATGGCTGCTTATCGAGAACCAGATCTAGAAGAAAAAACAGGCAAAAAAATATTAACACCGAAATTTGCTGTTGGAATGCGAAAAAAAATTGAAAATATTTTTTCAATTGCTCATCATCATAAACATAATTGTCTTGTTCTATCAGCTTTAGGTTGTGGCGCATTCAGAAATCCTCCAGATCATGTTGCAAAATTATTTCGTTCAGTTATTGAACAATATGCTGGCTTTTTTGAATTAATTATATTTGCCATTATCGATGATCATAATACAGGAAATAATTTAAATCCACAAGGTAATTTTACACCATTTCAACGTGAATTACATGGTTTAATTGTGCAACCGATGTTGTCATTAAAACAACCAAATACTAATTTTGGTCCTTATCGTTTATCATCAGATGGTTCATCAGTGAAAGATATCTGTATTTGTGATTTATCACCATGTCATTTTGGTGCTAAATGCCAAGATATGTACGATCCTAACCATATTCAGCAATTCTCTCATCCACCTTTCTGTGTACAAGGTTTGAATCATACATGTACACAAAACGATGATATGGTTCATATGTCTTCATTTATTCATCGACATCCATGTAAATATGGTGCCAAATGTAAAGAAATCGATGATCAAAGACATGCACAAGCATTTGAACATCCGTCTTATTGTCCAAAAGGTGGTGATTGTCAAGATACAACCGACGATCATGAAAAAACTTATCAACATTTACCAAAATGTGAACAATCTCATAGATGCAGCAAATTTATAGCACGAAAAAAAGATCATTGTACTTCTTTTCGTCATTGTAAACCACGTTGTCCACATGGTAGCTATTGTGTTCATTTTCTTAATAGAACACATATCGAAGACTATACACATCCATTTCGACAGCCATGTCCGCTTACTCCTTATAATTGTGCAGTATATAACCGATTTGAAATGGTAAAAGATTCTGAACAACTTTCATCCGAAGATCATCAACATTGTTTTCATTTTGCTCATGTATGTCGATTTGGACGAAATTGTATAAAGGACGATCTAGATCATCAAGAAAACTTTATCCATATACCCCGTCTTCTTTGTCGATATGGTAGTCAATGTAAAAAAATCGCCCAAGAAGATCATATAAATTCATTTACACATCCAAATATTCGTGATGTTCGACTCTTATGTAAACATGGTGATGCATGTCGTGATCGTCAAGATCGCAATCATTTTGCTCGATATCGACATTCAATGAAATTCGGAGATAGTGGCGTCGTTCGCTACTGTAATTTGAATGGGAACATCGATTTTGTTCAAAATCAAAAGAATAGTGCATCCCAAATTAACAATTATGCTCGAAATTGGACATCATTACCATCAGGTTCAATTCCAGACGAAATTCTTGATTGGATACGTGTTATTCAACCTGTTCATCGATGCCGTCGTGAAATATTCGAATCAATCCTACTTCATGGTCATGTTATGGGTCGAGAATATATGGAGCATTTAACAAAACCGAAATGCGTAGCAAATTCTGTTCTTGAACATAGTAAAATCCGACAAATACCAAATTTAAAAGGAATATTCGATCATGTTAAAAATTACGTGATTGCTTTGGTCACTCAACATTATATAAACAATGAATCTCCCGACTACAACACTACGAACGGGATGTTCACTCAAACATCACCCAATAATAATATATCAGTATCTTCATCAGTTGACACGACAAGAACGATTCTTGGATATAATCTTGCATCTCGTAACGTGGATATGATTCGTGAAAAAACCATTGAAATAGCTGAAGCTTCAATTAAACTTTCCCGAACTCTTGCTGGCATTGGTTATGAACAAGATAAAAGGTTGGGAACCAACAAACAAGTTTTCAGCATTCTTGGACCACATACAGGTACTTATTATGGAAATGTAGTTATTGTTTTCAAACGTGACATACTTCATCATCCAGATGCAAACTTTACTACACAAGCTGCAACATCATTCGCCAGCGGAAAAATTTACGAATATCGTCCATGGTTAGGACCTGATCCAAATACGTTAGAAGATCGAATTGATTTATTTCATAAATCGAAATTACATGCTTCAATACCAGGTTATGAATATACAACTGCTCTTGAATTAATAGCTACGACCAGTCATTATTTTAAAAAAGAGAAAATGGGTTTGAAAGTTAGTCTTGAAAAGATTCTCGAACGTTGGCGCAAAGTTGACTCGCATTTTGTTATTGAAACACATTTACCTCAACTTATTCCGTTAGATTATATTGAACATATTTACATGACAGAGGACATATACACATCGCTTAGTACAAATGCTCGTGACACTATTGACAAGTTTTTCAAAAATTGTATCACGATAGAAAATAAAAATGATGATGAATATAATAAATTTGTTGTTGACAAACTGGTGGAAAAATTTAGTCATAGTGCACTTGATTCAATTTCAAGACCTGTTCAGGGTATTGTTATGACAATCGAATCAACTAATCTTAAAGATCATTATCTCTTACCTTTGACAATTTCACAAGCATATGCACAATACCAAATTAAACATCCAAAAGTATCAGTTAATTGTAAAATTTATATCTATTGGCAAGTAATGAATGGTGATATGATGTTAACATTGTCGAATAAACAAATTGATCCAAACAAGATACAAAACGAACTGAGATGTTTAATTTGTTATATTGCTCCAAAACCCATATTAAATGATTCAACGTATCACGAACAAACATCATATTTAAATAGTGGTCATCCATTTCAACATCAAACATTTATTGATAGGAAAATATATGCAGCTAAATCAACAACATTTTATGTCGGATGTAATACTGATGATTTAATGACGTTTTGCCTTGAAATTGATCGTTTGAATGGAATGGTCACTCTTTCACATGCCGGTCCTAATTCAATATACAATCATGAAAAAATTTCTTGTCCATTTTCGAAAAACGTTGATTTAGCTGTTTTAGAATATATTCATGTTAGTGCTGGTGCTCAAGCATTACCAATACGAAATCTAATCGTCTGTTTCGAGAAGCAATATGATTTGCATGCAACATTTGATGAAAAATTTGCAAAAGCTACTACAGCCTCAACTAATAAACCAACCAATGAGGGACAAGTTTCAACAGTTAATACAAACAATAATGCATCATCATCCGCTACAACCGATAATCAAACACCAAAATCATCGAGCCTTTATACTCGATTTAAAAATACTGCAAAAGCAATTCTTTTTCGTGATCCTAACTCAAAATTCAAACCATGTCCTGATGGCATTTACTGTCTCACACAATTTTCTGAAAATGGACTTGATCACAATGAAAAATATTCACATCCATGTCGATTTGCTCATCAATGTCGAGAACCAGAAGAAAATTTAACACATGAACCTCATCAAGTACCCGACTGTCCATCGGATAGAAATTGCGAGGATTTAATTAATCCTATTCATCGATCTCAATTTCATCATACAGGTTGGCCGTATTTTCTTATACCATGTAACAATCAATGTAAATGTAAAAACAAATCAAAAAATCATCTGATCAAATACTCGCATGGTGAAAGAGTTAACGAACCAAAACGAATAGAAGAATCGCAAGGTAAATAAGAATTTTTAAAAATCAATATATATATATATATATATTTATATCATTTCGCTTTTAGCTGCTTCAACTGATCAATCACCACAGAATGATCAAAATTTTCCGAAATCAAATGTAGATAGTAAACAACAAACACAAAGTAAATGGGGTGCACAATGCAGGGATATTACTAAGCCTGATCATTGCAAACAATTTTCTCATCCAACTGTTACTCAACAGGCTAATGGTGATCGTACTCCATGTAAATGGAATCCGAATTGTACTGATCATTCTGGTATTCATCGATCTAAATTTTGGCATCCACAAACTTGAAGGCAAATTAAAACATCTAGATTCAAAACAACTGCTTGCAGTGTTTACTTACACAATCATTTTCGCATTTTTACAAAAACCTTATGAATTTTCATGTTTCTATATCATGTTCTTTTCTCATTTAAATCACATCTTCATTGTCATGATCATCTATCTAGTAGTAAAACAGGAATAAATTTGTCAAAGAACTTATCGTCGAATAAAGGCCTTCAAAGCAATATCATTTCGGCTTTATATTCCACTTTCAATTTTCCATAATGAATAAAATAAAGTCGATATATCGAATCGAGATAATCACACACCATAAAAATTAAAAAAGTTTCTAACATATGAAATAATATTCAAATTATTAAATTATTTTTAAAAATCATCTATCACATGTTATTCGCATAATAAATGAAAGCATCAATATGATATATATAATACATTACTGTCTTTAATATTTAAATTAGTTTGTCTTTTTGTACATACTTGTCATGAATAGCTGAGTAGTGGTAGAAGGAATTGGGTTAGAAGGTACGTCTTCCTCATCTTCCGCTGCTGAGTCAAATGGGTTTTGTTGGTTGTTATTGGTTTCAGCAATATCAGCTGCAATTTGTTCATTACACTTTAAAACTTTGTAGAAAATGTTTTATATTGCTGTTTTATCCAATGGATAAATACCGGTATTCATAAATCCTTTGATAATATTGGCTTTCTTCGCAGCAGTCGATCCAAATAATTTTACCATTAATGATGGAAAACCCTTCTTTGAAACCTTCTTATAACAAGAAATTTGGTAATATTCATTGAGAATTTCTCGATATTTTTGTTTGATAGGCTTGAAAAATCTTTTGTTTGAATAAGACTGGCTATATATATACACATCATCTAATGAAAAGAGTGTTTGGGTTATAAAAGTGTCAACCCTTATAAAAAACGCATGAATTTTTGATCGGAAGTGTTCATTATAAAAGTATATATGTTTGTTTTTTTAATGCATACATGGCTAACGGTAAAAAGCGCTTCCTTTCGTGCACCTTTAGGCCATTTCTATTACCTATTCAACTTCCAAAATGTTTTAAGTGTCATTATCAGTCTAATAATCTTATTCGTTGTACATCATGTACCAAGTACGTATGTTCTGTTTGTGTAGGATTTGTTTATTCAAATTCATATACTTGTATATTTTGCACAGTCAAACAATCAAACATGTTTTTAGATGATTATTAAATAAATTATTCTTCAGGTTGCCTAATATTCTATTTGTACTAATTTTATTCACTTGGAGCTACTAACTCTTCCGATTTCATGTTCTCTAAATTTTGTGTCATTTGGTATGTTGTGTGTTATATTTCAGGTAGGTGTGTTTTAACTTTTTGGTCTATTAGAACGAGAATTTGATAATGTACATGAAAAGTTCAACTTGTTCGTGATCCGACTGCTAATTAAGGCTCTAACCTAATTATTCTGCTAATCTTAATGAACAGAAATGCATTTATAATCAACGATGTTCATTTTATGCACAGTACTTGCTAAAAACACGCGCTTTTATTCCGCTTTTTACATATGTAATTAGTTATAATATTCTGAAGACATTCTTGAACTAGACTAAAAGCCGGCTTCTACAGATCGGCGCACGTCAACTTCTGTTTATTCCGTGTAATTTCTACGGATTGATCATAATTACCCCAAAGCATATATATTGAAAAAATGACTATCTCTTTTAATTTTCGTAATTTCTCATTAATTAATTCAGGTCAAGTCCGAATGATGTGCAATTCACATGAGAAATATAGCAAAGAATTCTCTACAAAATGAACTAATTTTTAATTTATTTGCTTGAAATTCTCCGTTGAAACAAAGTTCTTTAAGTTCATTTCAGCCATTTTGGCTGTGCTGATCATAATTACCCCATCGATATACGTTGACTGATCATAATTACTCCAAATGGGGTAATTATGGTCAATCGATACCTGCTCGCTGGAAATTGATTAGTACTAAATAACGCTAATGAATTTTAAGATAATTTTTACATCGATCGATAGGTAAGACTCAGCTCAACCTGAAATATCCGTTTTTTTCGGTGAAAAATAGTTGCAGAGCTTCAAGAATACTGAGAAAATTTTTTATCCTGATCATAATTACCCCAGGCTACTCTATATTCATCCTCATATGAGAATGGATATATATATATAGACAGCAAAGAGTACTGTACGTGAATGTGGGAATAAGCTATTTTGAGACTTACGCGACGTTTTGTCTGTTAGCTATAGAATCCGAAAGTAGGTCGATTGAAAACTGAGGACTTCAAATTTTTCAGAAAAAGGATAACAGATGCGTCATTGTATAAACGCCGGTTTTACTGTACTGCTGAATTGCTTTATGGGTTAACATTATAGTGTCAGTCAGTTCATTATCAATGTAATAGATGAATGAAACCGGATTAAAACCCTGAGCAATTTTGTAAACAGTTTGGTGTTCATGCTCTCTAAATTTTGTGTACCAATAGTCATGGACAATTTATATTTCAAACATTAATCAGCAATCAAATTCAGAAAAAAAGGTTGGACTCAATAGTCAGCAGCGAAAATGAACAAAATTAAACTTATATCATCAGTACGATGTTAAATCACACATTAAACGAAATATATTTTTTAGTATTATCAACAAAAAGTATAATTTCAGTAGAGTTGTTGGTGGATGTGAAGAAGTATTAGAACAAATATTTGGGGATGTTTTATTATCTCGTCTATATCCATCCACATTTATTAATCAAACTGGTATAAAACATTGTCGAGGAATTCTTCTTCACTGGCCTCATGGTAGTGGGAAAACATTACTTACTAGAACCATATGTCAAGCATTGAATGTTAAACCAAAAGTTGTGAATGGATCGGAGACTTTTTCCAAAATGCTTGGAGAATCAGAGGAAAAAATACGTGAATTGTTTGCCGATGCTGAATTTGATACACAAGAAGTAGGAGTTACAGGTGCATTATACATTACAATATTTGACGAGATAGACGCATTATGCAAAAAGCGATCATCGACCAGTTCAACAAGAGATGCCGTACAAGATAATATTACTAGTCAACTATTAACTAAATTAGATGGATTTGCTCAATTAAATAATGTATTGGTAATAGGTACAACTAATCTTTCAGAAACTATTGATGCAGCCCTTACACGACCAGGACGACCTGAAACACTTACCAAAGTTGAATTACCAACCGAAAATGACAGACTGAAAATTTTTGATATATACGCAAAATTCATGTTACAAAATCATTTACTTGATAATGATATTGATATAGAACAAATACTTTTTGGTACGCACGGTTTAACAAGAGCACATATTGAAAAGCTTGTTCGGTTGGCTGTGAATAACGCTCTTCGAAGAGATGTTATTGAACGTGGTACATTAGCTATCGGTGAAGATTCAGCAGAACAACTCCGAATTTGTAATTCAGATTTTTCAATTGCATTAGAAAAGGTTCAGTCAAAGCCATTAGACTTTTATAAGGGTGAAACAAATGATATGTAGTTATTAAACATACATTACTGTTATTTTTAATTCAACGAAAAACAGCTTTCTCCGTATATGGTAGATTTTTTCATTCAGAAAAAAGCTTTGTGTAATAAATTTAGATGCTTTAGAAGCTTTGAGATTGCGATACCCTCACGAAAAAAGGTCGCTAATAAAAAAATTGAAGAACAATGGGTTATATATTTCGAGGCTGAAGTTTTGTAGAGAATTTCACGGCCGTTCTTCTGCTGTACTTTATGAATCACTTTTATTGAGAAAAAAATTATTTTTAATTATACAGAAGGATCACACTCCAAAGTTCAGTGGTTCGACCACCTCTGCTCTCATCAGATTTCCTATGGATTCAAAAGTGATCTAATATGCCCAAAAAAGGATGGCAATTATTCTGGTATATTATTTTGGGTATTTGCGTCACTTTTTTTGGGTGTTAGTGGATGTTCGTAACGCAAAAGCCTTAAAGAATCCTCTTTGAAATAAATTTTTTCGGTGTTTGTTTATTCACAAAGAACAGGTCTATCGACCGGCTATCTCGGATTTTAATTTGTGGGTGTTAGTGGATGTTAGTGGGTGTTAGCGTATTTTATTAATACCCTCAAACTGAAAAAATTAAACAGAACTTATTCTATCCGTTTTGAAGCATTTTCACTTGATTCAGGTATTGATTTATTAGCTGTCTGGCAATATTTTATTCGGTCATTTGTTTTTTACCATCGTATCGTTTGGCGACATCTTTAAAATTGAATGCACAACACCACAATTTCCAGAGATGTTATAATACGAATACGTTATATATTGAAAGTCACTAGTACAAACACCACTACTATACGTACTAAAGGTCTTTTCCGCGTGATACGTAAGGATACCTATAGAGTACATATACTGTTGAGAACTGGAAAACTGTAAGAATACATATCTCATTAGTCTATTTCAACTTTTATTATCATGTTATTTTATTTATTTATTTAAAATAACACAAGATGAAAATTTATGTGAAAAGATGCATACAGGTCTTGGTTATTCAAAACTGAATTCGCAAGTCTCTATCTGCTTCCGTTCTGGAGTTATTCAAAAAGCAACCGTCTGCCTTGTATTTTGGAATGGATAGTAATTATTGTGATGATTTGTTGTCCCAAAGTTTCTAGCTCACTTTTAATTAATTTATGAAAGTTCGACTTTTATTAGTATAGTAGCTGGAGTGTAAGTTTAGTAGCAAGAATGTACCTGCTACCCGGGCCGCCTTACCTCTTTACATGAAGAGTGATATACAAGGACGTAGGTCAAAAGAGTTGATATTACAGCCTTGCAAAACATTCAGCGCTTTACGTCGGTATTTCACCTTCAGATCGGTAGGTCTACGCTGACAAGCTTATTCAAAAGTAGGTTTATGCAAAAGTAGGTTGATTTTGAATACGTACTAGGGGTGGGGGCGAAACCAAACAAAAAACACAAAAAAAAAAAAATTTTTATTTTTTTTAAAAAAAAAAAATAAAAAAAAAAAAAAAAATANTCCTGAGTAACGATAAAGTGGTATCTTTTATTTCAAAAGTAAAGAGTAAAGATATAATCCATAGTCTTTTAAAAAGAAAAGAAAAGATATTGCTTTTCTTTCTTTTGGAAAAGAAAAGGTGCCGCTTTACTTTTTCTTAGGAAAGAAAAGATATGGATTATATCTTTACTCTTTACTTTTGAAATAAAAGATACCACTTTATCGTTACTCAGGAAAGGAACGGGAAAGTGCCACCCCTAGTACGTAAGCGAACATCTACGTTGTTCGGACCTCAACAGATTTCAGCTTTTTTCGATCTCATATGAAAGAGCAAACGGCGTAGCCAGCTAACGGTCCACCTTCGGATGAGAAGATTCGAATTTTTGTTTAACTTAAGCAAAGTTTAAAAATACATCATTAGACGCAGTGTTTCACGTTGATTACAAGTCTGGCTCAAAAACAAGTGAAAGTCAAATCTTCCTGGTGAAAATTTAATTTCCTGGCATAGATATTTTTTCCAAAAATTCTGAAAATTATACCGTCGAATAGAGAATCAAATCCAAACATTTTTGCATTCTACTTGCATTTAGAGCAATTTTGTTTCAAAACACATTTAAATATATTTTAAAATCAAGATATTTTATTAAATTTTTCAATACAAAATACATTTAAATGCTTCTCATATTCGAAATCTCTTCGAATGTATCTATTTAAATGCGTTATTTTGTTTAATCCATTTGAATGCATTTTTAGTTGAAGTTCGAATCTCAAATCTCTCTATTCAAATCTCTTTATTACTAAATACATTTGAACAACTTTTAGAATAAAAATCTCTAAACTGATTTATTTCAAAAATGCATTTGAAGAGATTTCGAATACGAAATGCATTTAAATCTATTTTGTACTGGAAAATTTAATAAAATGTCTTGATTTTAAAATATATTTAAACGTGTTTTGAACAATAATATCTCGTTATACACGTCCTAGTGATGTCAATAGACCCGCCCTACATTATTCTATTATGACGAGAGTCGTAGCAAGGTGTCAGAATGTAATCGATCACGACAACTATTATCACTGTTTGATATGTCATTAATGACATTAATAAATCGTTTATTAGCATCAGAAACATTTTATTTTGTACCGAATAACGATCCTGGTTCAAATGGCAGTAATTATTACAAGTGGAGTGTTTATTCCACGATCTAAGCCATCCATTTCACTAAACGAAATATTCAATATTCCAATATCTACAAATAATATGTCGTACCGCGTTCATAATTTGTCAAGATTTCTTGGTAGCGATTATAAACGAAATACATCATTAGCATGGTATAATAGTGATAATGTACTCAATAGTTGTTATTTTGGAAAAATTTCATTTGTCATATTTTACCTACGGCAGTACATAGAATTGAACATCCATGTTTACAAAATATGTTTGTTCGT